ACATTCTCTTTGTCCACTGCTCAATTGAGAGATCATCAATATTATTCCGTAGTATGCAAAAGTATATCCGAAATGCAAAAGCCACAAGAGAAGAGTAGTCCCCAGTAATTTCGATGAAAAGATTTCGAGCATAGATTCAAGAAATGTTTCTAAATAACTTCTCTCTTTTCTGACTGAAGAAAGAAGAGGCGTTTCATCCAATGGTGTGTTTTCTTCATTTAGATCCATGTTATGATCAGATAGAAGAATTCCCGGGGGAAGTTTTGTTCGGTTGATTAGAGCTACTTTTTCCAAAATTCTAAGTGCTTCAGTTGTTCTGCCTTTCATATATAGGTATCTTGGAGACTCAGGTGCAAAATTAGAAACGAGAAGAACCAAGAAAGCTGGTATAGAAGACAAAGCAAGCAGCCACCTCCAGCCCAACCTTGGCATAACAATCTGAACGAAGAAAGGCAGCTTTATGATTATTCTATTAAAGCATTAAGAGCAAGTTTGTTACGTAGTACTAGACCATAATCAACACTACAATTAACTTTATAACAAAGAAACTTGATTAAGATTTCGTGGTTGTTTTGTGGAAGTAAATTATTCAAACTTGAATTCAGATATACCCATGCTAGTGAAGCTCCCATTAATGTTCCAAGAGTCCAGAAAGTCGTAATAGAAAGCATCCAAGCACCTCTACTGGAAGGTGGAATGAACTCCATAAACCATGATGCGGATACATGTCCACCGGCGACACCAAATCCAACTAAACAACGATATATAATCAGTAACTTGTAGTTTGGGGAAGAAGCACTTAACAGCCCAGCTCCTGCTACTACCACCACAGCACCCAGTATTCCAGTCCTGTAAGGAGAACGAAAAGTTCTTTTGAAGGGCTATTAAATCATTATAGGCATCAGAGGGAAACGCGGATACAGGTTTAGTTGTTAGAGTGTTAATCGATTAACAAAACTACGTAAACGATTAAAACATATAATTATGTAGGTTTTGATGTGATTAAATTCAAGTATTTGATCGATATTATTTTAAAAATAACTCCACCTATGTCTGGGTGGGAGCTTGGCAAACCCCTACGTGTTCATTAGATAAAGAACAAATTCACGGAGGTCACAGACCCTGACCTCCATGATTACAACATCAGGAGATAAA